GTGTAAATTGAATTTCGTGGAAAATAGAGTTCACTTTACTTCTTAAGTCTTCTTTTGCGTCTCGACGCAGGATAACAAAAGTGTCGTCCACGTAATGCATCCAAAATTTAGGTTTGTCTAACTGAAAAATGACCGTTTCTAGTTTTTGCAGGACCGTTTCCGCGAGATAACCTGAGATTGGGAAGCCTATCGGGGTTCCTTGGATTTGTTCGTAGACCCGGCCGTTAAATGTGAAATACATGGTCAAGCAGCACTCCAGTATCCCCATCACGTGTTTTCTTTTTAGTGGTTTTTCTTCTTCCTCGTACCTTTTCTCCAGTAGATGGTTGATGACTTTCGTGGCAAATTCTTTAGGAATGGATGTGAAGAAGGAGACGACGTCAAAGGATACCATTGTTTCTTCTGGAGCTATCTTAACGCCTTTGGGTTTTTCAAGGAAGTGTGTTGAGGATACGGCTGTACGTTCCAAGCCTTCTATCAGCTTCATCAGATGTTTAGCAAGCCATTTAGCTAGCCCATATGTAGGTGTGCCTTTCGGTGCCATGATTGGCCGTAAGGGTATGTTTGGTTTATGGATCTTAGGCATTCCATAGAAGCGTGCTGCAGCAGCATCCTGTAGCTTCATTTGCCGCCAATCAATCTCGGATATTGCCTTCTGTTTCCTTATTAGGTTCAGGCCCATGTTAATTTTGCCCACGAGTTTTTTCATGAGGTCCGAGTCAACGAGCCTGTATGACTGCCTATCATTCAGTAGCTCATCCGCTTTTGCTACGTAATCCGACCTGTCCAGGATCACGGTTGCCTGTCCTTTGTCTGCTGGAACAATCACAATCTCATCATCCCTCTTTAATTCCATGATAGACTATACTTCGGCGGAGGAGATGGTTTGACGGGGCTTGTGAGATATGATGAGCGATGCGACTCGCTGACGGATCGAGTTCTTGTGGTCTGCGCCTTTGAGAGTGTCACTTCCAGTGTTGCTATAAAATCCACTGGATGCGCTTCCTCAGTTTTGTATCCGGCATCATGTTGGAGTACTTTCATCTACTCATCTGTCAGCTGTTTAGATGACAGATTGCGATCCAGGTACTATTTCTTGAGCTTCTTTTAGGCCACTTATTTTGTTCATAAGTTGGATCCTCTTCTTCTTTCGCTCGGCCTTCACATTAGTCTTCATCCAGTTCTGTAGGCTTCTGAGGGTTTCCGTCTCAAGATGGGCCTGACACGCTGCTTTCTCTCTTTCGATGTCTCTGGCGTATTTTCTCAGGCGAATGAGAACAGAATCCAATATCCTTCTCCTCCTCCTCCTCCTCCTCAGAGCTCGCTTTACGTTCTTATTCCATCTCAACACCTGGGGTCAGCATTTTTGCCTATATATACTGAAGGTGCTCTGGTCCACAACCTCTCATCTCGGCCTCTCAAGCAACAACAGCCGGGCCGTTTTGTTCTACGATACTAAGTTCAACACGAGAGATGCTCGCCCAGTAGACTTTATCGTATCCTTCGAATCGACCCTTCAGAAGTGTGAAGCAAACGAAGAGAGTAAGAACGTCATGCGGCAAAAGTGTCAACTCTTCGCCTTCCCCACAAACCTCTGACGGCGATTACCGCGGCAGAGGGCCGAGAGCTTATGCGAATCAGAAAGATGCAAGATATCGTCACCTTGCCAGCCAACAAGGAACGTTCGACGGTGGTTATGGATAAGACTGACTACACGGCGAAGTTACGAAGTCTGCTGGGGACGGAGATGCCCATCAGCTTTCGCGTGCTGGAGAGTTCAAAAAGTATGTGAACGTCGTCAACCGGACGATTGACAAGCTGAAAAAGGCAGGAGCCCTCAAACGAAAGGAGAAACTGACCGCAAGAGCCACAGATGCCGCGATGGCACGTTTCCACGGTCTGTAAAAGTGCATAAGCCGGGAATGCTCCTTCGTCACAGTGTCTCCTTAGGTGACACCCCGACATTTGGACTATCGAAATGACTCTACTGCTGGTTTCGTTTCCTTACCGAAGACTCCGAATACACAGTGAAGTCTGCTGAAGGGTTTCTGAGGAACATCAACCATCTAAAAATAGATTCAAATGAGATAATGGTATCGTTTGACGTGGTGTCATTATTCATCTCCATTCCAACCAGCCTTACCTTCAGCACTATCGATGAACTTCTTCAAGAAATTTAAAGCATTTTTCCCCGGTATAAATTTGAAGCAAACCAAAATAGTAGAATTTATTCGCGCGAATAAATTTCGAGAGCGCTTATCACC